AGGCTGGATGAGTTCTGCGCCAGCCACGCCAACACCTGTTTTAGTGAAGGGGTACCAGCAGAGCGTATTAATATAAAGCAACTGGCAGTTGGAACAGAGTTCTTTTCAGGTGGGGAGGGGGAGTATAATGTCTAGCTCTTTAGCATCAGAGAGTGTTAATATAAGGCAACTGGCAGTTGGGACAGAGTTCCTTTCAGGTGGGAGGGAGAGTAGAATGTCTTAACTCCTTAGCATCAGAGCATGTGAATATAATACTGTATATGAAATATTAATGATCTGATGGTCATTTTGAAAAATTCTTTCTTAGCGAGCACCTAGAAGCCAAGAGGAACATACATGCCAAATTTCAAGTTTGTAGGCTTTACTGTTCTGGAGATTTCGTGATGAGTGAGTGGTATTTGGTTTATATAGAGATAGATTCCAAAATCTCATTTCAAATTTATCTGGACCCTTATTCGATTTGTAACTTTCCACAGTCAAAAGGTTTTTTTGCTATTTGCGCGTATGTGTGTGTGTGTTATGTTCTTAAACTATTAGTTTAAACTTCCTTTGCTAAGGATTGAGGGAAATTCACTCAGTGCTGTGAAACATGTTGATCCAAAAGTATCTAACAAGTGAAAAGCAATTAACAAGCAACTTCTGAAAGTGATTAGAAAAAGAAGCAAACTTAGTGTCCTTTTAAAATGCTGACTGCAATTTGAGCAAAATAGATATTCCCTTGTCTCCCAGAGTTCTAAACCAGAAGCTGCTATCTTATGGTCTTTTTGTGAGGAACAACTATCTGGAGCATTTGTGGGCAATCTCAAGTTCTCTCTTTGCCCATAGAGGTTTCAAAGAGCTCATCCACTTTCTGCCTTTTCATTCTTCTGTACTTGTCGGATTAGCTTTCTGCTAATGCAACTTTTCCTTCAAAAGTCAAAATGAATATAAATTTATCCTCATATAGTATATCAAAATTACAAGCTTAGATAAAACACCCCAATTGGCCTAAAGCAGGAGTCTGCAACTTTAAACACTCAAAGAGCCATTTGGACCCGTTTCCCAAGAAAAGAAAACACCAGGAGCCACAAAACTTGGGTGGGTGTGGCCAACTCTACGTCACTCATTCCCACCCAGTCATATGACCCCCCCAGCCACGCCTACCCAGCCAGTCATTAGGGCAGAGAACTGGTTGTTAAAAAACACCGGAAACCACAAAACCCTTTTGACATCTCTCTCACGCTCTCCCCCCCCTCTGTATTTCTCTATGTCTCTCTCCCCCCCTCCCTTTCTCTCCCCACTCTCTCGGTCTCTCTCTCCCTCTCTATTTCCCCCCTACCCTCTCTCTCTGTATCTCTCTCCCTCTCTCTATTCCCCCCTCTCTCCCCTTTCTGTATCTCTCTTTCTGTGTCTCTGTCTCTCACTCCTCCTCTTTCTGTATCTCCCTCTCTCCCTTTCTATCTCCCCCTCTCTGTCTCTCTATGTGTCTCTCCCCCCTTCTATCTCCTCCCCTCTCTCTATGTCTCTCCCCCCCCCTCTTATGCATAAAGCAAATTGGATGACCTTTAGTCAGTTTGTTTTTTCTTAACCCAAGGAAGCAGGCAATGACAAACTTCGTCCAAAATTTTGCCAAGAAAACTGCAAGGACTTGTCTATCCAGTCACCATGAGCCAATACCGATTTGAAGGTAGACCCCCTCAGAAAAATCAAGATTGTGAAATTTTCTCATCTCACCTTCCAAAGATTGCAGCATAAAGAAAAAAAATCTTATCCCTTGACTTTATTTCTCATGATTGAGATTAAATTCTTTGTTTATTAACAATTGTAGAAGACAAATCAAGAAATAGTTCTATTTCCTTCCCCCGCACAGCATATTCCAGGGATGTTATTTGCCTGGAAAGTATGCAAGTTTCTATCACATGTAGTTCTTGAAAGAAAATGACAGGAATCAGTCTGTTTGAAATTCTATATTTTTTATTCAGTAATTCTATATTAGCATCAGAAAATCTTCTAATTTGACCAACTCTTGGAAATATTTTTCCATAACAGCCACTAAAGATCACCATTAATTAATTTCACTAATTTTTCTCTAAAGCAACTCAACTTTTAATGCCTATTTTGTAAGAATTATTAATTACATCATGATTATGTGTTCAAAAGCAGTACAGTACATTAATTCCTCCTATAAAGAGTAGATTATATTAAGCATATCTTTGTGGAAGTATGGTAATTCCTGCTTGTCATTGCAGACAATATATTGCCTATTCCGACTTTAGAGTGCATGAGCTTGATTGTAGTGCAGTATCAGGCAAAAATATTTATGTGGGGGGGGAGGAATGCCAGGTTTTGTATGCTTTTCCTCCAATGTTTGAGTCTAAAGAGGAGACTGGCAAAAACTACTTATTCTGGGAGCACTTATCCTGTTGTAAACCTTATATGAATTTCTACACTATGCTTTTAATTTGTTTTCAGTATAAATCCTGCACAATATGTTTGTATTTTTTTCTTCTGGAAAGAGAAATAACAGATTATTTCTCATTAAATGAATCAGTACAACTAGCAATTACATTGCATTATGCAAGTAAATTAAAAGCACATTTAAAATGAATCTAATTCATCTACATAGAACGTTTGTTTATTTATTTATTTATTTATTTTCATTCAGCTCTTCTAAAGATAAGCCATTGGAGACGTGATATTTCATAGTATTGTATGCCATGAAACGGAACTGGGAGGATATAGTTAAATTATCTATTTTGTTTAGCAATTTTATAAATGCCTGTAATTATATCTGGGGATGAAATAATAATTATGGCATCCTGTGAGGGCATTGAGAGAATATTTGTTTAAGATTGAATCACGATATGAGGTGAGGGGGGCAATAATTCACAATATACTTTATTGATTAGTCAATTGGCCATATTAAATATAAGCATCAATAATAGTAAAATACAGTAATATGAGATAAGATACAGCAAAATGAGATAAATAGCTATTGTGAGATAAAATAAAATACAGTAGATAGGTAAGATAAAACAGTATAAGGCAAAATAGAAGAAAACTTTATTAATTAAATCAATTGATTATCATATATAGACAATTGATACAAAAATGCAAATAGATAAAAAGAAAACAAAACTTCATAATAGATGGTTATCCCTATATTTATCTCCAATCTGATCAAGATTGTCCTCTTTTTGTCCTCTTTGAGATGGCCTTTGAAATCACGTGCAGTCTTATTGATGATATTTAGGTTTGTTCCCTGCAATAAATAAGGCTGTTGGGTGCTCCCATATTTTTTAGTTTTTAAATAAGGCCCTTACTGGAGAGTACAATTTCAAGTAAACAAGAATGTGTCCAGTGTCTTCAAAGGCTGCTGTTCCCTAAATGCACAATCTTGGGACTCTAGTTGGGAGTCTATGAAACCTCCCATGTCTTACCATTGAGTCCAGTTGTTTGAATCAAGATCTAGAAAAAGGTCTTCTGAAATGTTGATGTATGTAAATTTTTAAATATTTTTCTAACTGGAAGACTGATTTTTTGAGCCAGCCACGTCAGAGAGTTGACGCATTTAAGTACTGCAATATCATCTTGGGCAGTTGCATCAATAAATCTTTGTTTGAAAGCTTTCTTGGCCTTTAGATCTAATTGGACTGCGAAATGGTTGGAAAATCCATATTGAGACATGATATTTGAAAGTTGGGTGGCCTAAGCACAAGGTTGCTTGTTATGTAGTTGCTTTTTGAAGCCCAGCTTGAGTAGTTTGTTTAGGTCCATGAATAGGATGTTCAGCCAGTAATTAAAAACTTTAATTACTAAATGGCTTTGTGTAGGGGGTTATGCCCAACTCTCCTTATTGCTGGGGCTGGTGTAAACTTTGCTTGTCAAAAGGTCACAAAAGGAGATCACATGACTCTGGAACACTGCAACTGTCATAAATATGGGTCAGTTGCCAAGTTTCTGAATTTTGATCATGTGACCATGGGGATGTTGCATTGGTCGTGAATGTGAAAAGCAGTCATTAGTCACCTTTTTCACTGCTGTTGTAAACAACACTAGTGGTTGTTAAACAAATGGTTGTAAATTGAGAAGTACCTGAATTTTAAAGATTATTTTCAGGTAGATCTGCATATGATAATGTTGTTATCTGGATTGGAGCTGTTTAGACCAACTTCTTCCATGTAAAATGAAGTGGAAACTAGGGATTGGAATATTGAGGAGACTTGGCAGAAAATCAGAAATGTGCTTCTTAGAGGCAGCACCCACCCTTAGGAATAGCTATTAGACATTTGGACAGCATCTATGTTCCTAAATTTTAGAAAGGTTATGGAAATAGATTTGTTCAGAAAGGAGATTTGAAGTTGACAGGATATTGGGATTTAAGATCTAAATATAGGTGTCTGTTGTAATAAATATTTGTAACCATCATGTAGGTGATTTTTGGTTTACATATTTACATCTTCTTACAACATAACTATAAGGTATAGATCATAATAGAATTTTTCTATAGAAAATATTTATATTTTCTATTGCCATCGTGATATAAATACTGTTTGATCCTGCCATGTTTGAACAAAGTAAAGTTTGAACTAACCAAATTTATCCCAGTTTGATGAAATACACTACTTGCAAATAAAGGAGCTATGCTACAGGACGAATAATTAGGCTACTATTATACTATTGTATATGTGTGTGTGTTAATTCCTGTTAACTATTTTGTTATTGATAACATAACATTATTTTGGTCTGTTTTGTAAGGGGTGGGAGATTAACATGATTGTATTATATTAATCAGCATTGAATTAGGGAGGATGCTATGTCTATCTGTGTTAATCTTTTTTTAAGATTCTTTTTTAATGTGTTTTTTTTGTTTTCTTTTTTAATATTTTGGCATTTTTATTAACTTTTTTGAATAAACTAAATATTATAAAATATTTTAATATGAATATTGTTTCTGTTTTATGAAATCAAATATTAATGTACTGTATAATCTAATCTTTTAACATATTGTGTGTCCCTAGTTATATGCAGCTTCCAAGGACATGTGCAGCAAGGCTTAGTTCTAGAACTAGGAGAAACTGTTCAGATCTTGGAAAAATGTGAAGGTATGATATATTGAAAATACTTTTTCTGGGGTTTATTAACTGCCCCATCTACTTACTTTGCTTTTTCTCTTTATTCAGATAGTAATAATAATCTGATCATAATGGTATCTTGTGGGTGTACTTCTGTAGCCAATGCTACACTAAAAACACTGGAATATAAATTTTATATCCCCTTCCCCTGTTTCCATTCACTTGCCATCTTTTGTCTTGTAAAGAGGAGATGAATAAAATGGGAGAAATAAATTTCTGTAATCACTGAGTTCATTGTTTTTTATTAGGCATTGGGAAGCCAACCATGTTGAAACTGTCTATGTATTCCCCAAAAGGAGTGCATTTTATATTTTGCAGACCTATGTTTCAATAAATCATTTGAGAACCATGATTATTCAAATGCTTTGTAAATCTAATCTGACCCACTTTCTATAAGAAAGATTGAAGCATTATTAATAATCCTGTCAGAAAGGGGTCAGCATATTTATTAACCATCTGTCTAGAAATATTGGAACTTCGTTTCTGGGAGGATAAGGGTGGCTTGTGATGATTTTACAACAATAAGGAATATAATTAGATTCTAATACGTAGTCCATATTATTTAATACCAGTGGCTAATTTCAAACTTTCTTGAAAATATTGTAACTACAGTAAAATTTATAGTAAATAAAATTGTCAACATATAACACTACAGGTTGTCCTCAAGATATGACCACTATTGACACTTCCCATTATGGTCACATGACTCAGCAGTCATTAGATGAAACATGTCATCTAATGAACCTCCATCCCTGCTTTCCCCAATGAAATGTAAAACAAACATACGGGTTGTTAAGTGGAAGGTGGAGCGCTTCCTGGGTGGGGGAGACCATTGGAAGCCTAGTATGGGCACAGATCCATCTACCCTGGCCCTCCCAAGGCCTTCCCAACTGTCCCCTGCTCTACTTCTCTCACTGTGGGTCCCAATAAATCTTTCCCCCCTCTCACCGGCTCCTCCAGTCCTTAGGCTTAATTCCCACCTACCAGGCCAAGCATCCTTCTCCTCACTTACCTTTTAAAGGTCTTCCAGTCAGGTTTCAGGCCTGGGCACAGCACGGAAACGGCATTGGTCGTGTTGGTGGATGATCTCTGGAGGGCTCGGGACAGGGGTTGTTCCTCTGTCCTGGTCCTATTAGATCTCTCGGCGGCTTTTGATACTATCGATCATGGTATCATGCTGCGCCGACTGGAGGGGTTGGGGATAGGGGGCACCGTGTTGCGATGGTTCTCCTCCTTCCTCTCTGACCAGTCACAGTTCGTGTTGACAGGGGGGCAGAGATCGACCTCGAGGCGCCTTGTGTGGGGGGTGCCGCAAGGGTCAGTTCTCTCGCCCCTTCTGTTCAACATTTATGTGAAGCCGCTGGGTGAGATCATCCGTGGTTTCGGGGTGAAGTGTCATCTGTACGCTGATGATACTCAGCTGTACATCTCCACCCCGGACCACCCCAACGATGCCCTTGATGTGATGTCCCGGTGCCTGGAGGCCGTGCGGATCTGAATGGGGAGAAACAGTCTCAGGCTCAACCCATCCAAGACTGAGTGGCTGTGGCTTCCGGCATCCCGATATAGTCAGTTGGTACCATCGCTGACTTTTGGGGGCGAGTCGCTGGCCCCCACAGAGAGGGCTCGCAACTTGGGTGTCCTCCTGGATACACGGCTATCTTTGGAAGAGCATATGACGGCTGTGGCCAGGGGGGCTTTTTATCAGGTTCGCCTGATCCACCAGTTGCGTCCCTTTCTGGATCGGGATGCCTTACTCACGGTCACTCATGCCCTCGTTACGTCCCGCTTGGACTACTGTAATGCTCTCTACATGGGGCTCCCCTTGAGGAACACCCGGAGGCTCCAACTGGTCCAGAATGTGGCCGCGCGGGTGGTGATGGGGGCGACTCGACGCTCCCATGTAACACCTCTCCTGTGCGATCTGCACTGGCTCCCAGTGGTCTTCCGGGTGCGCTTCAAGGTATTGGTTACCACCTTTAGAGCGCTCCATGGCTTAGGGCCCGGGTATTTACGAGACCACCTTCTGCCGCCAGTAGCCTCCCACCAACCAGTACGCTCCCACAGAGAGGGGCTCCTCAGGGTTCCGTCGGCCAAACAATGTCGACTGGTGGCCCCCAGGGGGAGAGCCTTCTCTGTGGGGGCACCAACCCTCTGGAACGACGTATCCCGGATCTGCGCACTTTCCGCCGTGCCTTAAAGACGTTTTTGTTTCATCAAGCTGGGCTGGCCTGACCATATTTTTAAAGTTGTTTTAATTTTAAATTGCTAAATTATGGGGTTTTTTTAATATGGGGGTGTTTTAACTGTGGGCCAAATTAATTTAATTGGTTTTTAATATTGTTTTAATTTTTGTATTTTCTGTATATTATATTGTGTGGCCACCATTTTATCTTATCACAAAATGGTGGTTGTATCTGGGTCGCTGCAATGGGGCCCAAGGATAAACTGCTTCCTTTTGCTACCTTAACAAGGCCTGCAGCATCTTCTATAATACTGTGCAGACCTCTGTAAGGCAGCAAAAGCAGTTTGTCTAATGGCTACCATTTTGTTCACAAATGGTTGGGACAAAATGGTGGCCACATTTAGGTTGCTGCTGCACAGCCCTGGGACAAACTGCTTCATTTTGCTGTCTTACAGAGGTCTGCATAGTGCTGCAGAAGCTTTCTGCAGCAGTCAGAATCTTCTGCATCACTGTGTAGACTTTCTATTGTAAGGAAGCAAAATGAAGTAATTTTTCAGGCAACCGTCAAATGGATAGACAAAATGGAGGTTGCATTGCTGGAAACATACTGCCTGCTCTTCTTCCACATGAGGTCTGGAGAGTTCCAGAAAGTAAGTGGGAGGTGATGAGTGTGTGAGGAGGAAACCCAAGCACTGCAGAGTTCTGGCAGAGTGGGATGGGGTGAGAGGCAGGAGTGTGCTGCAGCGACCCTATGGTGGGTCGTAACAGCGAACGATCACAGGCCTATTGCAGCTATCGTAACTTTGAAATGAGGTTATATGTGGCTTTTGGGAGGTCTGCCATAATTTTGAACGTTCATTGAATGGCTTGTCATACTTTGAGGATTACCTCTATAATGAAAGGGTTATAATTGTATATTACATTATAAGTAAAGAGTTAAATGTCTATATTGTATATGACAAACCAAGAACATTAAGGTGGCTTTTTATCTCAAGTATTTCAAAGTCTACTATTTTCTTTGCAGGTAGATTAGTAGCTTTAATATTCCATGTAGTAACTGAGCACTTGTGCATTTATCCTATGAAGTGATTATGTGCCATCAAATTGCTTTTGACTCTTAGCAACTACATAGATCAGTCTGAAATGTACTTGAGAAAAAATTGTGGCTGTGAATTCAGAGTATGACTTTCAAATTAGGTTAGGATTTGGTTTTAATGGTGTTTATGCTGTGGCTAGATCAAAATCTTTGGGATGACTAGTTGCTGATATTGCCATATAGGAAATGCAAGTTTACAATGCTTGTGATTGGAGACTGAAATGCCAAAGTTGGAAAATTACAAGAAGAAAACATAGTTGGATTGTATGGCTTAAGAAACTGAAATGAAGCAGGAGACTGATTTAATTTTTACTACTACAATGATTTCTTGATATTCAAATAAAATATTTTTTATCAGTGACTTGGAGTTAATGAATATTTACCAAGTTTGCAAATGATACAGAACTCAGAAGGATAACAAATGGTTTAAAATGGAAATTGAAGATTAAAAACATATAGACAGACTTGAGCAATGGCCCAAAATGAATAGGATGAATTTAATAGAGAAAATTTCTTATTTGAATTTGGATAAGAAAAACAAAAGAGAAAATGATTTTGTAGTATAATAACAATAGTATAGATCATGGAAAGAAATTGTTTTAATCTACTCTCTCCTGATCAAACTCCAGTTTGAATGCTGTGTTCACTTCTGGGCTTCATAAATCAGTAAAGAAATTGGAGCAAGGCAGGACTATAAGAAAGGTGAGAGTTCTGGAAACTAAATCTTATCAGAAAAACAAAGAAAACGTGTTAAGTTTGCAAAAGACATAGCTATGTGGAATAAAATAACAGTCTTCAAATTGCCATACAGGATTGTCATGCAGGAAAGAGAATGCAGAGGGTAGAACCAAAAACACTGAGCTAAAACTATAAGGAAGTATGTTTGGGCCAAATGTCAGAACAAACTTCCTGAGAATACAAATTGTCAGCCAGTGGTTCTGGCTATTTTTATTGCTGAAGATTTTCAAATTGAGGCTAGATATCATTTGTTTACAGGTACTGTAAGAGATCCTTCAGTGAGCAGAACGTGCCCTAACTCTGTGATTCTATAAAATATAGGTGGAAGATGTTCCTATTAACATTTGTATTTCATTAAAAAGATAAATTCAGACAACAACACTATGTAGTAATTGATTTTTTAAATTTCCATTTGACTATTCTGAGAACAGAATCATTAGACGATCACTTATCAACATAAAAACTGGAACTCAGAGCTCTAATTAGGCATATTGCCAGAATATCATATGAACCTCTCACAATTAATGAAAATAACATAATTTGTAAATGTTAACATGTTTTAATAATATATTTTAATATAATTGAATTTATTTTATTTTAGGTTGGTACAGAGGAATTTCAATAAAGAGACCTAACATAAAGGTATGTTTCGATGCTGCTTTTAACAAAAACAGTATTGAGTTTAATGCATCCTTTCAAATAATCTTACAAAGCCACTGGTAAATGTTGGCTTGAACTAATGAAACAGTCTTCTGTATTGTCAATAATTGAGTTATAATAATAATCTCTCATAAAAGGGCAGTCAGTCATGAAAATTGAAATAGTCAATAAAGTTGACTAGGAGCCTTAGTCCTAATGTGTGGCATATGCAACATTCATTGCTAATGGTAAATATATTACTAGTCAGTTTTGGTATGCTTTTACTAGCATGACAAAGCACAACGAAATGCTGGTTTTACCCAAAGTGCTTTACTTTAGTAACTATTTTGTGAGCCAAAATATGAGAAATATGTACACCATACAGTAGTCCTTGACTTATGACTGTTTAACAACAGTTCTAAAATTTCAGTGGCCTCAGAAAAATTGACTTACAACCCAACCTCAAAGTTAGGACTATTGCACTACCTCCATAATCACATGATCACAATTAGGGTGCTTGGCAATTGTTTTCAATTTACAGTGGTTGTAAAGTGTCTTCTGATCTCGTGATCGCAATTTGCGACTTTCCAGGGTCCCAATTTCTGACAAGCTAGATTCACTTAACGGCCACTTGATTCACCTAATAATCAGGGTAAAAATGGTTGTAAAATTAGGTCTTGTCACATAATGATTAATTTACGTCTGTATTGCTTAGTGACTGAAATTTTGGTCCCAATTATGATTGTAAATCAAGGATTACTTATAATTGTAAAGTTCTGGATTCAGAAAACTGATAAGACTTGCATGTAATTGAGAAAAAATCCATTTCAATCAATCAGATATTCTAATTTATCAGCACTTACCAAACTATTTACTTAAGTAGGATTGTTAAACTGAATTTATAAAAACCTTACAAATGTATCACATTTCATTTTGGGGAAATGCAAAATACAGGAAAACAGAAAGAAGTAATGAGACCTCAAAACTTAGACACAATAGATTTTAAAAAAAGAAAAGAGATTATAAAACTAGTTTCACCAAATGGGCTGATAAATACTGAATTCTGCTGCCCATCAATTGAAGCGTTCATTTAATACTTACTTACTTAACTTTATTGTCATTGCATCTCGTATAATGAAATTAAATGCTATCTTCTTGTTAAAATAAATATAATTTATGCATTTTTCTTGCAGGGAATCTTTCCTGCAAATTACATTCATTTGAAAAAGGCACTTGTCAGTAACAGAGGGTGAGTATGCATTTCAATTATTAAGAAATTGATATATCTGACAAATAGTTAGGAATTCATTAACATTATTTAATATACTTAATTTAAACTACTTTTGCATGTAATGTTTAATACAGATGTCTAAAACGCAAACATTCTATAACATTATATGTATACTAGCAAATAATCCCCCCCCCAAAATACATTCAATTTCTTTCCTAATTTTTTTGCTAAACATGAGGAACATAGTTTTAAAAAAACTTTGTTAAGGATCACTGATTAGTCCTTATTCATAAGAATGATACCTTGTCAGGAAATTTGACAGGCTGTTTTTCTTTGCAGCTATGTGATACCTATGAGACTAAGATAACCCATGCCTTATTGGGTCATTGTTTTAGAGATATTTCCTTATCAAATATCTCAATCCCTTCAACAATGACAGAGCTTCTAATGTATTGTCTTCACAGTAAAAGCTGGAAATACATTCAGAGATTACCTGCCTTGAAAATAGCCCATCTTAGCCCAGTCAAATATCAGCACAGGATGAGTTTTAAGACATTTTGTATTATGTGACAAATTGCTTTATGATAATGCTAATGTCATTAGACATTTTATAAAACTAATCAAATTTCAATTCTGTGAGTGTCATGGCTCCTGAATTTTGGATGCATTGTGTAAATTAGACCATTTGAGGTATTTTGGTTCAAAAGATTTTGTCATATTTTGTACCATTTTGGCTTATTCTGAATTTTGTACCATTTTGGCTTATTCCATTTAGGAATAAGAGTTTTAGTAATATATAGATTAACCAGAGTATCAATTAATGTTTGTCAGCCCCACTGGGTAGAACAAACCAGAAAATCAACTTCAAGAGAGAAGTGAAATTACTTTTTTGAGATTTATTGAGATTTACACAATCCTGCAAATCTGTTATTTGGACTGTAGCAAGATGCTCTACGTGGAGCTACTCTTGAATATTTGGAAGCTACATCTGGCACAGAACGCAGCCGCGTAGGTCTTGGGACCCTAGGATGGCCCATGTCACACTGCAGTTCGGCAAGTTGCACTGGTTGCCAGTTTGCTTCCAGATCCAATTCAAGGTGTTGGTTATCATCTTTAAAGTCTTTCATGGCATGGGTCCAGCTTATCTGAGAAACCACTTCACCCCATGGAATTGGCAGACTTCTGCAAGTCTGAAAGTGCCTCCTCTTCCACCTTTATCTGCAAGATAACTAGAAAGAGTCGAGCATGAAACGTTTTCTCAAATTACATTTCTGTTTTGGATTCAGATTTCATTTATCTCATTGTAGCCTTGATTGTTGCTCTTTTTTCTCAAGGTTATTCTTACATCCCATTACACAATTCCAGTAAAAAGATAGAACTAAAATTGTCATAAAATAAAATTTTGTACAACAAAATTATACATATAAGGCAGAAGATTATTTGAGAATGGAACATTTCATTATATGAAGCAGATGTTATATATTGGGGGATGTTTGTTATATATCAATGAATACATAGTCTCAAGGGAAGATGGAAGTAAATGATTCTGCAGTCCTTCTTTTTATGACATTTTCACTGGTGTTTATACATTTTACAGGCAGTATGAAACAGTTGTTCCGCTTGAAGATTCTGTTATTACTGAAGTTACAGCAACTCTCCAGGAATGGGCTATCCTCTGGAAGCAGTTATATGTGGTATGTAAACAAAAGCATGAAGCTCACAGAAGTATAATAGTTAATATAGTGTGACTGAAGAATGGGGATAATAAGTATGGTACTTAGAGACCATCTGACACATTTCAAAGACTAATTCCTGAGAATCCAACTTGAATAGATCCAGGATTATGTTTGATTCCCTGACTGGTTTAAGAAAACAAAACAGGATTCTTGCATAAATACATGACTCTGTGATGATTTTTTTTTATACTGAAAAGGTAATTATTATTTAAATGATTAGTAATACAGTAAGGTATTAACAATCAATAGTCCATTGTAACTTTCTATTGTGCTTTATTTTATAATTATAGCTAAGATAGGTCAATGAGTCTCAACTTTTTACTTAAGGATGAACATTGTCTAGCACACTGTTATTAGAGTAGATTATTTCCAGATTACAGGTAGTCCTCAATTTACAACCACAATTGAGCCCAAAATTTCTGTTCCTAACTCAGACATTTGTTAAATGAGTTTTCCCCCATTTTACAATGTAGTTAAGTGAATCACTATAGTTGTTAAGTTAGTAACACCTTGTTAAGTGAATCTGGCTTCCCTATTGACTTTGCTTGTTAGAAGGTTGCAAAAGGTGATCACATGACCTTGGGACACTGCCGCCATCATAAATATGAGTCAGTGCCAAGCATCTGAATTTTGATCATGTGTTCATGGGAATGCTGCAACATTCATAAGTGTGGTCGGTCATAAGTCACTTTTTTCAATGCTGTTGTAATTTCGAATGGTCACTCAATGAACTGTTGTAAGTCGAGGACTGCCTGTATAAAAATGTAAACAAAATGTAGGAGCAGGTAAAAGATGTGCTGAACTTATATTTTCTCAGGCTATAGAAGGCAAAAGGTCTTATAATATGTCAGCCAAGCCGGGGTATAGAAAAATCCAAATCAAACTTTCCAAATCAAACTAGCCCAAATGTACAATATATGCTATATTAATAAATACTTGTTTATGGACACAAATGAAAAGAGAGACAAAACCAAAAGTAAATAATTAACATAGGTAATCCTTATTTAGCAACCACAATTGAGACCAGCAATTCATTCACTTAATGATATGGTCACTAATTGGAAAATCATGTGACCACAACTTGCTTATGATTTTACTTCAGCTTCCCTTTTTATCCATTTCTCTGGAATGCTCACCCTAGTACAGGGATAATTTGAAAGAAGGGAATTAATATTTGTATTTACATTCAACGGAGAGGAAGGGTTTACAAGATAGTAACAGGCACACAATGGAGAATACACATTGAAAGGAGTGTGTGAGCAGCAGCTGTTTTCCTAGTCCAGTCACCACCACTCCAAGCCCCAGCTGCTTGGAGGCAAACAAAAGCTGAAGGTGTGAAAATGATTAAAGTCTTGTCAGTTACAGCGGCAGCTGCAAGCTGGTTAATGAAAGTCACAGAGCTGCGCTTATTAACTTGCAGTTAGTATCTTCTGTAGAAGCACTACGCTGTGGAGAAAAGCAGCACAGAAAGAAAATACTTGTTTAAATAATCTCTTCACTCTGCAAGGGGGGCAGAGTTGGAAAAATTGGTCAAGCACAATACAGTTATTAATTTCTGTTTTGTGGTTTGATACACATCATTTTCAATCAATCAATCAGAATAGAGCTTGAAGGGACCTTGGAGGGTTTCTACTCCAACCACTTGCTGAAGCAGGAGACCCTATATCCGTGATGGCGAACCTATGGCATGCGTGCCGGAAGTGGCACACAGAGCCGTGTCGCCTGGTACGCACTGCATTGCCCATTCCTCTTCCGGGTTTCCAGGACACACATGCACACCGACCAGCTAGTCTGCTGGTTACTGGTGTACATGCGTGCGTGACAATCAGCTGGCCTTCACGTGTGCAGCAGCGGCCAGCTGAAGTTCATTTTCCGGTGCTCTTAGCTCGGGTGCGCACCCGCATGCAGCCCTGGGACATCCACATCTTGCCAGCCAAGAGCGCTGCCGCTAGTCGTTCCCTTGTGCCCGCCCGCCTGCTTGCCTCGTCACTGCCGCTGCAAGGAAAGGTCCTGAAGGTGCGCTGCCTGGGATCCACATGGGCTGCTGCAGGGGGACAACAGGTATGGCTGGCTGGATGCTGCCCAGAGTGCGAGGCTAGGAGGAGCCGCCGCTGTCTCTTAGCCGGAGTGAATGGCCTGCCGTCGCAGCCTACAGAAGCCCTCTCTGTCCTGCTGGCTGCTCCTGCCACTGAGAGAGAAGCAGCAGTGTGAGAACCACCGCCGGCGAGGGGGTGGCGGCGGCAAGAATGAGTGAGCCGGGGCTTTCCTGTCTGCCCGCACAAGCAGGCTTCTGCCCTGCTTGTGCGGGCAGACAGGGATTGAAGGGAGGGATTGAAGCCTGCCGCCACCCCCCCTGATGGCTCCTGTCACTGAGAGGGAAGCAGCAGCATGAGAACCGTTGCTGGCAGGGGCAAGGGGGTGGCGGCGGCAAGGATAAGCGTGCCACCTCATCCCAGCGATTCTTCCACTGCTAACTCCCCAGCTGTGGCAGGAGCAGCCGGCTAAGGCTTTCCTCCCTCCCAGCTGGAGACTTTGGGCTGTGCAAGAAGCCCACTCAGGGAGGATGGGAGGGAAGTGTGTCGCCTTGCCCCAACGATTCTTCTGCTGCTTCCCCAGCTGTGGCAGGAGCAGCGGGCTGAGGCTTTCCTCCCTCCCAGCTGGAGACTTTGGGCTGCGCAAGAAGCCTACTCAGGCAGGGTGGGAGGGAAGTGTGTCACCTTGCCCCAGCGATTCTTCTACTGCTGCTTCCCAGCCGTGGCAGGAGCAGCGGGCTGAGGCTTTCCTCCCTCCCAGCTGGAGGCTTTGGGCCGGCAAAGTTTGGTGCAGGAGGCTTTCCAGGCCCAAAACAGGGTGGGGGGCACATATGCGGTGGGCGCATGCACGGGGAGATGCGCATGCACAGGGAAGCATGGGATGGGGTTGCACACTCATGTGCAAGTGGGGCGCACATTGCATTATGGGTGCTGGCACGCACGTGCGATAGCGTGCGTGCACACACACACTTTTGGCTCGCAAGGACAAAAAGGTTAGCCAACACTGCCCTATACTATTTCAGATAGGTGGTTGTTCAGTCTTTTCCTAAAACCTCCAGTGATGAAGCATCTACACCTTCTGAAGGCAAGCTGTTCCACTGGTTAATTGTCCTCACAGTTAAGAAGTTTCTCTAATTCAGTGAGTTATTTTTGATTTTTATTATTATAATAGCAAAGAAGAAAAAATATATTAAATAGTGAAAATACAGTGAAAAAGTTGAATATATATTATAAAAATCAAATGAACTACTATAACATAAAAATGAACAAAAATTATAAATGTAACTAATTAATTTAAACATATAGCAACACAATGCTTCATATTCTCATAGTGCATAGAATTTTTCAAGAACAATGATCAAATATGTTCTAGATCTATTCCTTAAAAACAGGAGAGCAACTTTCTTTCCAATCTTGTAAAATTATTCTCGTTCTAGCCCAAGGTGGATAAAGCCAGAGTTCTTTTTAAGATACCAAATTTTAGGAATATAATTCAGCAGCCTGTTGAGATCCTTAATAATACTTTCCAAAATCACATTATCATAGGTATTGATCTGAAAGCAAAAGTAAGCTGTAACAGAACAAGATCAAATCATGTTGTCAAGCTTCCAAGTAACATGTCTCATGAAATAAAATCCAAGGCATCCATTTTGCATTAGAATCTATTAATTAGGAACATAGCAAATTGGCAAGGACTTGGTGTAATTCCGATTCTGACCTGGATCCGGAATTGTGAGTAGTGCCCAGCATACTGCATACACTTCCTTTTCCCACCTTCACGGCCCATCTTCTTGAGTTTTTTGGAAGTGTAAGCACATGGCTGCAGAATTTCAGTGGCATTTTTCTGCAATAGGACTGCTGCCACTGCTACGTCGCGGCGTCAGCTTGGACCACAAAAGGTTGTTCTGGATCCTGATGCTTTAGCACTGGTTCTTCTGTGAAGTGCTTTTTTAACAGTTCAAATGCTCGTTGGCATTCTAAAGTCCAGTTTAGAGGTTGCCCTAGCCGCGGCTTGGTAGGGCCACCCCCTGTTTTCAGCAACTCCGTAATGAGTAGGGCAGTCTCTGCAAATGAGAGGATAAACTGGCGATAAAAATTTGCAAACCCCAGAAAACTTTGCAATTGTTTTATGGTTGCGTGAGGGTTGCCAATCTAAGACTCCTTTTACTTTCCCTGGGTCCATTTCCACTCCCTGGTTTGATATGTGGTAGCCAAGATAGTCTAAAGCATTTTTGTGAAACTTGCATTTTGACAATTTTACATAGAGCTTGGCTGCCAATAGTTTCTTGAACACTTGCCGAACCAGTTTCACATGTTCTTCTAGGGTTTCCGTGTAGATGAGGATGTCATCTTAGTAAACAAGAACCCCTTTATATAGGTGCTCATGCAGAACCTCTTTTATCAATTACATGAAAACTCCAGGGGCTCCCTGTAGTCCAAATGGCATCACCCTGAATTGGAAACTTCCTAAGGGGCAGTTAAAAGTGGTTTTTCATTTATCTCCTTCTTTTATTTGTACTCGGTATACGCCTCTCGGAGATCAACTTTAATGAATACTTTTCCTTTTGCCAGATGCCCCAACATATCTTTCATGAGGGATAAGGGGTAGTTGTTATGTATGCAGATAGCGTTTATGTCTTTAAAATCAACTCATAGCCTCATCCCCCCATCTTTTCTTTGAATAACATGGGGGCAACTACTCTGGACTTAGTTGGCTGTATAAAACCTCTAGCCAGGTTAAAATCAATGTACTCCCTTAGCTCTTTCATCTCTCTGGGAGTCATGGAATTCCTTTTTGGTTTTGGTAACTTTGCCCCTTCCACAAATTCTACTGCGCAGTCCGTGGGTTGATGGGGGGTAATATATTGCATTCTTCTTCACTAAAGACTTTTGCCAAGTCTGTATTCCCTAGGAATCAGAGGAGTT